GTACAGGCTCTTCTTTAGCTCAAGCGCGACTTCGCTTGCGTTGGTCGCACCAAGCTTCTTTAGTTGTTCATCCTAGACGTCCATACCGCCAGGCACATGGAGCAGAATCTCAAGGTCCTTCTCCTTGTCGGCTTTGACGTAGGCGCTCGGAATGTCACCATGCTTTGCCGGCACCACCCACGTCGCTACAAGGCCTAGGATTACCTTTACTGTCGACAAATCCATGACCGCAGCGAAGGTGAGGACATAATCGATGCCGAAAACTTGCTCGTTCCCGCACGCAACTAGCCGCGCCTTGAGGCTCTCCACCGCGCCATTCGCATCAGTTTTGGTCTTGAATACCCATTTACTGTGCAGCATGTTGGCCCCAGCCAGTCGCTTGATCACATTCCAGACACCATTGTTTTGGAGAGCGATGATCTCCTCGAGCATTGCCTTTCTCCATCCTTCAGCTTTCGTGCTGCGCATTGCCTTTGCGTGAGTCTTGGCATTGGCCTCGTAAATTTGCATCACAGCTGATACATCATTTGTCACGTGTTTACTGTCTAGTGCCGCTCGCTTGGCAGCCCCTCGTGTGGCATGAGATGCACGTACCCACGATTCTAATTAGCCGTCCCCTTTGTTTTAGCTACGTCGGGGACAATCGAAGATGTCTCCACCTCAGCTCCTGCTTCGTTGAGTAGCTGCTCTCTGAACTTGTCGGAGGGTGCCTTAATATTCTTGACGTGTTGAGTCACGATCACGACATTGGTCGTTCGTATGAACACACGATATCCTTTGGTTTCGCCGCTGCGACCCACGAAAATACCAATTTGCGCCCGATGTGCTAAGGAGTTCTTCTTCGGATCACGGTACACTGTGCACACCGACCAAAAGTAACAATAGCACGAAAATCGGGTGCTTGACTTGTTAGCACCTCGATTGGTAATGCTTGGTTGACGTTCGAGCTTGTGGGACTGCGATTCAATATGTACGCTGACAATTTCACCGCATCTCCCCAGATATTCAGCGGGAGCTTGCTTGCAAAAATCATAGAGCGGGCCATATTTAGAACCGTTCGATGCATGCGCTCTGCTCATTTGATGCTTGAGATCTTGCTTTGCTTCCCTGCCGTGACACGCCGGCGGACTTGCAGAACAATTCAACGTTCCAATATTCACCACCCCTATCTGTGCGTAGCACATGAATGCTACAGTCGAAGCGCTTCTCAAAGCGCACTAAGAATTCCCTGAACCTTTTCGCCGCTTGGTCCTTGGTGCGTGCCAGAAATACGCGGCAGTAATTGCT